TTGTCCTAATGCAGAACAAAGACAGTCAGTATTGTAGATAAATCACCTGATGGAATACTGCAGTGAAGAATTAATTGTAATGTGAGTGAAGGCCTAGTGGTGTTATCGCCAGACTATTAATCCAGAAACCCACATGTTTTTCCAGAGACTGGGGTTTGAATACTGCCATGGCAGACGGTGGAATTTAAAGTGAATAAAAATCTGGAATTAAGAGCCTAGTAATGATCATGATTCTATTGCCAATTGTTGGAAAACCCATTTGGTTCACCTATGTCCTTGAGGGAAGGAAATCTGCCATCCTTTCCAGGTCTAGCCTACGTGTGACTCCAAACCCACAGAAATGTGGTTGACTCTTAACTGCCCTTGGGGAAATTAGGGATGGGCAATAATTGCTAGCCTGTCCAGTGATACCTACAGCCTGTGAATTAATAAAATAAAGCTACATCAATCAGAAGGACTGAGCCTGTTGCTACTATAGAAAGTAGAGGAGAAGGTGAAGTAGTGGAAAAAGAAGACAGCTAATCGGGTTCACAGGGCAAATACACCAAGGTGCTAGATTGTAAATCATGGAGCGGGAGTGGCAGAATTCCCTACACCGTATCCCACAACCAGCCACAGTCCTTACACTTGCCTGTCCACCAAATCCCAGACTTCTCAAGCCCATGTTGAGATGGTGCATTCTGAAGCAGGCTCATTTTATCCAAAACTTGGAAGCCCATCTGAAATGTCCTTTTCAAATTGTCAGCAGCCATCAACATTATTGTGCTGCTGCTGGAGGGTTGCAATTCCTAAAAGCACCAGAGTATAAACAAAAGGCAATCTCATTGGTAAATGGAAGTTTTTAATCATCATTTCAGTCACTGTTCCTATTACATGCATAGCCTTCTTTACCAAGATGCCGTATTGTACTAAAGATGGGTTAATCTGCAAACACTGCAGCTCAGGATGCCATCTTGGTCATCTCATTGACTCTTTGGTGCACAAACTACTGTGAGGAAAATAGCCTAGTATGAAGTAATCCAACCAACTCTCTTCCTTCAACCTGAGCTAAAAGCTTATTTCTTGAATCATCTATAAGGACTGGTCCTCGTAATGTTATAGCTTTGGCTCTGAATTCCATCCTTCTTCAACATTATCAAATCATTCAGGTGGAAAAGCATTGTATGCCAGAAAATTATTTGAATCAATTCTATCTATGATAAGCTGTGTCTTTTTTCTGTACCAAGATGATATAACAAACCCAAATATTTACAGCTTCTGAATTTCCCTCCAAAATTATTATGTTACGGGTAATCCTTTGAGATATGTTAGACCAAGGGGCTGAAATCAATGCAAATAAAATCTCTACCTTCCTCCTGAACATTAGTGAGATACTATCTAGAGTATTAGATACAATTTTTGTCCACTTACTTGAGGAGGGATGTAGTTGCACTGGACACAGTACAGAGGAGGTTCACCAGACTGATTTCTTTACTCAGAAAGTAGTAAGAGTAGTAAGGCCGTGGAATGCCCTGCCTGCAAAAATAGTAGACTCGCCCACTTTAAGGGCATTTAAATGCTAAGTGCTAAATGGAATTGACAAAGTAGACAGAAAAAGGATGTACCCTTATGTGCAGCAATCAAAAATGAGAGGTTCTACAGTTTTAGAATAAGAGTGGTAGATTTAAAACAGAAATGAGGAGAAATTACTTCTTTCAAAGGGTCATAAATCTGTGGAATTCCCTACTCCAGAGTGCTCTGTTAACTTAAGGAGAAGATAGTGGTCAGGGACTGGAATGCATTGCCGGAGAGGGCAGTGGAGTCGGCCTCATTAGGGGTATTTAAGCGGCTATTAGATAGGCATATGGATGATAGTATAAGGTAGGGGTGGAGGTTAGATAGACCTTAGGATTAGGATAAAAAGTTCGGCACAGCATCGTGGGCCGAAGGGCCTGTACTGTGCTATACTGTTCTATGTTCTATGTTCTTACAGACAGATTTTGAATTAGTAATGAGTTGAAGGATTATGGGCAGTGGGCAGGGAAGTGGATTTGAGGCCAAGATGAGATCTGCAGTGATTGTATCAAATGGCACTGCAGGCTGGAAAGGCTGAATTGCCTACTCAGGATCTTAGTTCTTATGTTCTTGTACTCATTCTGAATAACAACTGTTTTTTCTAAATGTGAAACCACCCTTGATTCAATGAATTGTTTGATATATTTCTGGAGAGAACAAGAGCTGATAATGTAAAGATGATTCTTCCCTTCCTTGTAAGAAGGCTAGGCATAACATCCCTGAAGGGGGACATGGCCTTAACCATCATTAATTTTGCTTTGGCTGTGCTCATGTTCGCGCATGTCGCCTTGCTGCAGATTTGCAGTTGCAGGGGAGCTCGTTCCTCGTCATTGCCACATAAATGTGTCTAAGGTCGTTCTTACAGAACCTGATAGACTGGTTCTAATGCCTGACCACCCTGACGAGCATTCTTTGATCTTTTCCAGCCTCTCGATGTTGTTGGTGCCTCCAAAAGAAATATAGATTTTGCAATGTGTAATCGAATGTTTAAAATAACATACCTTTAAGATATTAAGAAGATTTAATTGTTAGAGACATCAAGCTTAACATAACAATTAATAATCAATTTTGAAAGCTTGCCGGGAAGTTTCGGGATTCTGAACACTCGCTATCGTGTCTTTTCAATGAAACAAACAACCCCATCAGGCAATGAGCATGCCATTCCCAAATTTTCTAATTCCTTTCATCCAACGGGACCAATTTTACAGCAAATTTCTATTCCTGACAGAGCAGGAGACATTTTAAGTGGTTTTTGGGCTCAGATCAATGAGCATATTCTTTCAATTCTAGCCGAGAGATTATAAAGCATGAACATGTGTCAATGTAAAGCGAGATCAGGATTACAATAGCCAGTTGACAGTAAAGTACCTTGCCTGATCAGTTCTGTTTTATATAGGATACAATACTTGTTAGAAAATAAAGCAATAATTCACAGCAATTTATACGAGATGACTGGCTCATAGTTTCTGTGAATTTGTTGTACATTTCTTGTTATAGTAACATCTGTTGACAGGTTTTGTAAGTTAATTTCTTCCAAGAATTGTCCTCCAGTTCCATAGTTAGACACTGGCATCTGCCTTAGAGCATGATACGCCAACAATACCGAGCCACCTCTCGAGCGAAAGGACGGCTCAGGTTAAATAGACCTGAAAGCATGTGAACCTAAATGATTAAGCGAGCTCTGTTAACTTGCAGAAAAAGTACATTTTTCCCCGAAAGGTTAACATTTTAACAACATATTTCAAGCTTGTTTCTCCCCAATAATAATTGAACTGCTGCTGATGGAAAACTGAATCGATACGGCACATTTAGGTTGTCGCATGTTGCTTGCGTTAATCTGAATCATGGGGGCACTGCTGTCATTATAAACGATGGATTAAGCAGTGAATTGCCGCACAACCTGCAATATAGCAGGAGCATGAGAAAACTCAAGTTTCACTTCGTCGTAACACGCCGTGATTGAACACTTGATGCAGATTTAATACCTGACAAAGACTATACGGCAGTTGTGTCCAGTATGAAGTTTGGAATGATTACGTGTACATTTCACAAAGGTAAATTAAGATTTTGTTTTAATAATAAATTGTTAAGACTAAATTGTCACTGCGATATTTTGATGTGCGACGATAGTTTTAGCGGAGTCACGTTGGCTACATTTCCACGCCCCTTATTCAAATTATTTGAGGAACTAGTGCTGCAGCTTCAAAACGTGTTCCCCTACAATTACATTCAATCAGTATGCTTGGTACTAACATAAATCGAACACTCACAATAGAGAATTCTTTAATTTGTTCCAACATGGGGCAAATATTCACTGTTCCACTTCATCTCGGTAACTTTACTAGAATTCAGTTCGCATGCCTAAAAGTCATCTTCTTTCTTGGTGTGAAATGTTGTAGGCCTTACTTTTTTTATATATTGCAGGAGGTATTGTCTACCTCTAAGTCTTAAGGGCCGCGTTTCCTTTTTATAAAAACAGGTTCTATGCATCGAGCTATTTTTTTTTTTAAATGTTTATTTTGTTCCTTTCTAACGCTTGCAAGTCTATCAGCAAAAAGGAAAGTGAGATTCCATTCCACCTCGCTGTATGCGCAGTATATTCTGCAAGAGACGTCAAGCACCATGGTTGTACATGGCAGGAAACAGGAATCATAGTCACTGACGTCTGCACTGCAGACAAACAGTAGCATGCAATATTAAATACCTGAGCCTGGCAGCTCAGATATACCGATCACTTCTCCATTCCTAAGTCTTATTAAAAGCAGTAGAATAAGGGAAGGTAGGAATGCTAGTACTATCAACAGTATAAAGTTTATCAATTGAACAATCGTCAAAATATTTAATACCAAGCTTGTTATGCAACAGCAAATCCGAAAGGATTTGACTGGATCCCTGATGCCCAGAGAAAACATGAATAATTGAGAACGTGAGGTGGAAAAAAAAACACTGTTGTTAGGGCACGGCCTATTGCCCCCACAGGATCTCTATGTACTGTGTGTTACAAGACGTGAAATCGAAAGAATCTTGTGAAACATAATGGAAATTTACACGGTGGATAACGTGTATTTTAAGCCACGTGATTTTACCATTGCAGTAAAGTCAAATCGCAGGAGAAATACATAAAACTGTTACAAGTTTTAAATAACTCATTAAAATCAACAATCTTGAGTATTGTTTTACACAAGTCGTTTGGTTAAACTTACAAACCAGTGTTAGACCGAAAATTGAAACCATCTGAACTGACAAATCAATTATTTAAAAGATCTTGTGTCTAGTCACCTGAACCTATTGATCATTAAGTGATAAATGCGACCTTTCCGCTTATGGTGCTTGATCCATTAAAAGGACGGACGAGAATTGAACATTGTAAATTTGTCTCCATGTGAACAATTGTCCGCAGCCTCCACGGAAATCCAACTGTGTCCGTTCATTCAATTGCGGTTCTGTGGGATTTCAGCACCATGGAAAGTAACAAGCGCCTCATGCAGATCATCAAAGACATGCGTTCTGACATGAAGAAACTGGAGTCAGAAAACAAAGCCCTACGGGTGAAGTTAGGTCAGTCTGGGAGAAGAGCAGAAGTATTGGAAAAGACAACCATTACCGCTCTCCAACAGCAGCTAAAAACCGAGGATGCATTAACGCACGTTAACTTGCGCAGGAATATCTCCGCCCCTGCACTGGAAGGAGAAACGAGAGGTAAGTAATGCAAGTGAACTGCAACATTCAAAAGTGTACACAGTCTACTACTAATCGCAATGCTCAGCTAGTTCCTATTTATTCGGGAATCACTGCTGACTTATTGCCACTGACCTTGTTGCGTTGGCTTCAAGCTAATCTTTTAGTTCACATTTTTGCTTTAAACAAGGCAGAGGTGGGTAGGGGAGGGCGAGGTAGGAAGATGGAAAAGTGGGGATGGGTGCGGTTGATGGAGAAGGATTGTCCAGCAAGTTTAGTTTTCAAAACAATTTGGGTGAGGAATAAGTTTTTTCGATGCAGCTTCCACCTCAAATCATTTCCCACTCTGGCCTTATATTAAAGATTGGGCAGACAGGCGTACTTTTCTGGGCAATCTCAGGATTTCTAGCTCATCTATAATGGCAGAGGCAGTATCGGAGAAATCCGTGCAGGGTTCCTACCAGTGTATTTCCGCTCAGTGGAAGTTTGAAGTTTGCTCACAAATACCACACGTGGCCGTATCGGGACGCGCAAACTGTGGACATTTAGCAGCTACTTGTACTGGAAGATCTGGCCCCCTGCTTGACCTGAAAAGTTTTTGTTTAAATTTGCGGAATATCCTATTTCTCCATTATGACTAAAACAAATTATATAAAAAATATGCACTCCAAATATGTTTCTGATATAATGCAATCATAGTGATTTATTTCAATGTCGGTAAATTTAGAAGCTAATCAATTCGTTTGACTTTCTGCTTTGTTGACCATGCAAATACGTCGATGTAATTGGCTTCTGTCAACACTTCTGCCGGATACCAGAGATCCTATAGACTTGACATCAGTCTAAAACTGGGAAAGGGTAACATCATGACACAGCGATCACTAAATCCTGATTGCAAAGCTTAGACTAATAAGGCAATCATGATCTGTTCTTTCCAAATGACGTGGTTGCTATTAAAGGATTTACTACTGAAGTACATAACATTTGAGGCAATTAACATCTGAAAAAAATGTTGTTATGCTTGTATACAATCCCTCTGAGTATAATCTGAGTTCCAAACGTGTGTGTGAAGTAACTTTCTACAGAGTTTGATTTCAATGTTTTTTGTCTGTGTCTGAAAAGTATATTGAACATGCAACATATAACACAAATTAATTTGCAGATAATGCAATGACGGTGAGACGTTACTCCATATCATCTTTACATGCCTTCAGTGTGGGTAATAAACATCAGAAATCTCCTGGTCAAAATCCAACCTATCACACAAGTGAACAAGAGGATCCAGGAGCAGTGGCACCGACTCAGCCTTGCGCAATAATGAAATTCACTAAAAGCCAAAGAACGCTCGCTCAATTACCAGACACTAAGACTTCAGAAGAAAACTGTTCACAAAAAGCAACCTTACAAGAATACGTCCATAAATGCAAGTAAGCAATAAAATAAGTCTTTAAGATCAAACAGAAAGTCTTTGTGCACAAAAATAACTTTGAAACAAACTCATCCTCTCTAAAATACTGGATATTCAGGTTGAGAATATGCATATGTTTAGGCATAAAATGATACCAGCAACTGGCCCGAGAAAAGGTGTGGTAATATATTTCTGTGTTATGATGATTGAATCCATTTAGTCAATGGATTTCAGTCATCTCAGGTAAAAATACACTTAACTAAACATAAATTTGTTTATAAAGGGTTAAGTATAATGTAACTTTACACGTGTATACACAATAAAGTGAAGCTGAATATTTAAAGTGGATAATGATGTTGGACAGAATATAGGTACTTTTGATATTAAATCCATCAATTTTCCAAATGCTAATATAAATACTATGGATGCTGGAATCTGAACAAAAACAGAAAATGGTGGAAACACAAAGCTAATTACACTTAAATGTGGTTTTCTCTTTATAACAATGTAGATTGATCTACTCTGAGTTTGCAACAACCTGAGCTATCAAGAAACCATATAATTGTGGAAATTGGATTTTAATTCTTGCAACAGAGGAAGAAAATGCATATGGTATTGAAATTAATAAATTAAAACACTGCAGTATCAAAAGTAATCAAGTTATACCAGAAATTGAATAACTTATATCATTGGAACAATTACAATCAAATGCACAATACCTTTGTATTCTTGTGTAAAATATATATTTTACATAATCACAAGTCAATTTTTGATTCAACCAATCTTAAGTTCCAAAGAAGGGTCACTTGACTCAAAACTTTAACTCTGCTTCCTCTCCGCAGATGTTGCCAGACCTGCTGAGCTTCGCCAGCAATTTCTGTTTTTATTTCAGATTTCCAGTATCCATAGTTCTTTGCTTTATTTCAGTCTTGGGTTGTTTTGTGAGACCAGGCAGCCTGAGGTATTCCAGAAAGCAGGCCAAAGTGGAAGAGATCAGGTCCTTGTAGGATGTGTGAGCTCAACATGGCTAAGCACTTTAGAATGACGATTGAACTTTTAACTTTTTTTAATTTTTCTATTTGATACTAAGAAGGACTGTAATGTTTAAGTTTTAACTTTGTCTCTTTATTTTTCTACTTTGTACCTAAACATTGTACCTAGGTACCTTTATACCTTAGAAGGTGCTGGGAATGGCAACATTGCACACTTTTCATCGTATTCATGTAATTGTGTACGTGAGTACACATGGCAATAAAATCTAATTCCAATTCTAAAGAATTCTAATGAATTCTAATTCTAATTTGAATTTGCTGCAATTCTACATTTGAGTAATTAAGCACATGCTACAATAGTGTAACAACTGCTAACAATTTCGTATTATTCTAACATAAAAAAATTATGAGATACCATATTCTATGTAATACTCCAGATTATGTTGTGCAGTAACTATGTTTCCTCCAATTCTCTCAACAGATTTAAAATGAAGTCTGTAACATTTCTTTTGCCTATGGATGTTGCATCTCATTCTGAAAGTCAAGGTTCTTCCCATCAACCAGAGAATCAGAAATGCAATCAACTATCTCCTATTCTGGAAAATGATTCCTAAGTGTTTTGCTTTATACTTTAAGACAGGGTTTCCATGATCCACGTATTGCAGTCATAATGATGGGAAAACTGACACCATTCACTGTCGTTAATCTATGAAACTGATAAGTGGAACCTGTGCATGGACAGCGAATTGCAGCAATCCAGAAGTTATTAATCATACCCTAATCTTCCACTGGGTGCTTGTTGAAATCTTCACATGAAAATCATTGAGATGACATTGATTTGATGTGAACTTCCACTTTTTATATTATTAGTCCCAATGAAAAAACACTGAAAAAGTTAATATTTGTGAAATAAAGTACAGCTAGGGTGACATGTTAAGTTATAATTACTTCTGAACAACTTATCTGGCCCTGAAAAACAACTTTGTATTTGTGGAATGTCAGAATTCTCTAATATAATTTTAAAAATGTTTTTTGAAAGAAAAAATAAAGCTTGTTTGTTATGTTTCTGAATCTAAATTGCTGTCAAGTAAAAGTTCCAATTTTGTTTTGTCATCTGTAAATGATTAAAAATTGAAGGTAAATCAGAACATTTTAAGATTATGAGAAAAGACTGGCAACCAACATTAAGGGAAGTCCTAGATAAGCATATCAGTAGAAAGAAGTTAGTAAAAGGATTTGGAGGGCCAAAGGGGCAAAGAAAGGAAATTACATATGGAAGCATCTGTGTTTCTGATGGAAGTAGATGCTAACCAGGTCAAGGTGACAGAATATGAAGCTCTAACAGGGTTTATTTGAATATGCTATAGATACTTAAAGTTAGCATGGCAGTGAGACTGGATAAAACATTTTCAAGAATATCGAAGGAAATGAGAGTGAAGTTTGCAGAGGCACTGGCCATAATCTTTCAGTTTTCCCTAGACTAAGGGGCGTTGCCAGAGAACTGGAAAATTGCAGACATGACATTGTAACAGCCAGCACGCATGTCTAAAGGAGAAATCATGTTTGCGTAGCTTATTGAAACTTTTTAAAGAGATGACAGGAAGAGTCAATGAGAGTTATGCCGTTCATATGGTGGATGTGAACTTTGAAGGGGTATTTAATACAGATTTATGGGAAAAATTATTGTTCGTGGGACAAAGAGGGCAGTGCAACGTGGATACAAAATTGATTGTTTATTAGAAACAGAGAGTAGTGGTCAATTAATATGTTTTGGTTCTGGAGGAAAGTTTTCAGTGGAGTTCCTTGGGGTTGTTTTTAAGACCTTTACTTTTCCTGATATAAATTAATGATCTTGTTCTTGACGTACATGGATAATTTTGAAGTGTGTGAGTTATACAAAACTTGGAAGCATTGTAAACTGTGAAGAGCAAAGTGTAGAACTTCAAAAGGGATCAGCTAAGTTGATGGTATGGGCAGATAGGTGGCAGGTGAAGTTCAATATGGAGAAGTGTGACATGATGCATTTGGTTGGATGATCATGGAAAAACAATATAAAATAGGCGGTACAATATTTAAGGGGGTGCAGAAGCAATGGGCCCCAGTTGATATGTGCACAGATTACTAAAGGTAGCAGAACAGTTGGACAGATAAGTTAATAAACCATACAGTATCCTAAGCTTTATTATAAAGTGCATAGGATAGAAGATGAAGGAGGTTATGCAAGATACTTGTTAGACCTCAGCTGGAGTATTGTTTACAGTTCTGGTGCCAAACTATAGGAAGGATATGAATACATTGGAAAGCATGCTGAAGTGACTTACAAAAAATGGTTCCAGAGATATGAAACCTTAGTTATGACGATGGATCAGAGGCTGGGACTGCTCTCCTTGTGCAGAAGAAGGCGAGGAGGAAATCTGACAGAAGTTTTCAAAATCATGAGAGGGCTGAATGGAGCAGATGGGGACAAATTGTTCCTACTCATAAAAGGATTCAGAATGAAACGACAGAGATTTAACATGATTTACAAACATAGAACTTTTTTCAGACAAGTATGGTCCAAATCTGGAATGCACTGCCCGGCAATGTGGTGGAAGCAAATTCAACTTAAGAAGCCATTGAATGATTATTTGAATTGAAACAATGTGAAAAGGCAGGAGAATTGTGCCAAGTCATAATGCTTCAATGGAGAGTCGGTGCAGACAATCTGAGCTGAATAGCCTCCTTCTGTGTTTAACAATTCTGTAACTCTGTGATTTTGCTTTTTTTAGTGAATGAGGTAATTCTTCAAAGTGATCAGCCATTAGCCCGCTGGATGACATCATAGCTGTTAGGCACCAGAGATCTCCTACTGTTCATGCAGATTTATTTTATTAATTCATTATGTCAGTATCTCTGGCAGAGTAAACATTGATTGCCCATCCCTAAATGCTCTTCAGCTAATGACAGTGAGCCATTACTATGAACTGCTTTAGTACTTAGGATGCAGATGCACCCAGAGTTTTATTATGTGGGGAGTTCCAGAATTTTGACCCAATGACATTGAAGTAATAGCAGTATATTTCCAAGTCACTATAATGAGTGAGTTGGAGGAGAAAATATGACTGATGATGTTCCCATGCAAATGAAATTAACATTTGTAAGTGTAAAATCCAACACAGGGATCAGTAAATCTTTCTGGGCAATTTCTTCAAGGTCATCGCCATCACTTCCGTCTTGACATCATAGTCGGACGTACTCCTTAGAAAAATGTATTTTCCAGGCCTACAATATCTATAAGTTTGTGCACAAAAGTAACTGTTGTATTTCAAATGTGTACATATAACAATGGCATTCAATATATTTTTAATCTGCTAACATGAATTTTTACTTCAGTGTGAAACTGGTATATGCATGTAGGTCCACGTGAGTGTGGACCTATAACTCCCAGTGAAAATAAGTTACAGTAAAATGAGATGTGCATCCAAAATACATTGTTAAATGTAAGTAGATAGAATGGAGGCAGTTATACATTCCCTTCTCTTTTATCATCCGGACACCTTGTAGAAAAGTAATGTCATTGGTTAACTCATGTGTTATAAAAATATCAGTGGCTCAATGATTAGCACTCCTGCCTCACAGCACTGGGGACCTGGGTTCAATTCCAGCCTTGGGTGACTGTGTGAAGTTTTTATGTCCTCCCAGTATCTGCATGTGTTTCCTCAGGGTGCTCTGGTTTCCTCCCGCAATCCAAAGATGTGCAGAATCGGTGGATTGGCCACACTAAATTGCCTGTAGTGTCTGGGGGTGTGTGGGTTAGGTGGATTAGCATTGGGAAATGCAGGGGTACAGGGATAGGGTAGAGGGGTGAGTCTGGGTGGAATCTTGCTTGGAGAGATGGTTGGACTTGCTGGGCCAAATAGCCTGTTTCCACACTATTGGGATTCTGTATTAATTTAGTCCAATTTGTTTCTTTCCTCTGAAACCCTAATGCCTGAATGTATTTATTGAAGTATAGAGTTTTTGATAACTCAGGTATTTGAAAATGGATTGGATAAGGGAGAAAGTTTTTTTTTAGAAAAACTCAGGCAGTTATGGTCTGGAACGTCCTGTCTGAAAGGGTGGTGGAGGCAGGTTCATTGGAATGTTTAAAAGGGAATTGGATAAATACTTGAGAAGGAAACATTTGTGAAGATCTCGGGAAAGAACAGGTGATTGGGCACAATTTCATAATTGCATAGTACTTTAAAGAACTGACAAAATCACAGCGAGCTGATTGGCTCCCAAATTTTCTGCAAGGTGAATTCACTTGGCATTTTTGAATTAAGATAATACAGCCAAGTTAAAAATGAACATATGCTTAATAAAATATAAAAATGTATGTTTATTTTGTAACTCTCTTTCAATGGATATCAAGTACAATCTGCAATAGTATGAAGTCATATTGGCCTCTGACAGTGTCATATATGACCGGATAGTCTGTTGGAATAAAGGCACTGTACAGTAAATGATTTCATTGTCAGGAAGTGGCATTCAATATAATTTGTTGAATTTTCGGAGATAACACTCACATTTTATCATACATTAAGTTAATAAATTTGTAGTCAGGACTGTGCACGTGCTGCCAGTTTCTCTTCTGCTTTCAATGCAAATTTAGGGCATTGTTGAAGCAATGACATCTGGGGAAGTTGTGATGTTCATTTAACACAACAACGCATAGCATTATGAAAGCTGAAACGAGAACTGATTTTTTTTGTTTTTATTTAGAACATTTATAATAAAATACATAAATTGGATTTGGTGTTTTCCCGACTGGGTTTCCCCATTTCTTGCTCATCATGATGCTTTGGAAGCTGATGGGGGTCATCCTCTGATTTCTGAGGGCTATGGACACTGTGCAGACTCCCATAACTTTCCGAGTCACGTGTTTTTCCTGTTTTGGGGGGAGAAATCCCACATTATTTCCATTGTGACTTTCCACCACCTACTTTACTTGTTTGAAAAATGAAGCGCACCTGCTGTATCCTTGATTTCTGTATAAATGTTCTCTGTGACAATCCTGGATGTATCAGTGTACTTCATTGCAACAGTAGGTCGCCGATCCTGATATATGTTACACCCACCATCTATGCAAAACAAAATATAGTACAATTTGTTCAAACATTTCAATTAGAATTTGTGATAATGTTTTATTTAGCTATCAGTGAGATAAATAAAGAATTAGACCAATTAGCTTGCATATCTCTTTATGTGGGTTATGGTAACAGTAGCTCTGTTACTGAACTAGTAATCCAGAGATAGTAGGAACTGCAGGTGCTGGAGAATCTGAGATAACAAGGTGTAGAGCTGGATGAACGCAGCAGGCCAAGCAGCATCAGAGGAGCAGGAAGGCGGACGTTTCGGGCCTAGATCCTTCATCAGAAATGGGGGAGGGGAAGGGGGTTCTGAAATAAATAGGGAGAGAGGGGGAGGCGGATAGAAGATGGATAGAGGAGAAGATAGGTGGAGAGGAGACAGACAGGTCAAAGAGGCGGGGATGGAGCCAGTAAAGGTGAATGTAGGTGGGGAGGTAGGGAGGAGATAGGTGAGTCCAGGGAGGACGGACAGGTCAAGGGGGCGGGATGAGGTTGGTAGGTAGGAGATAGGGGTGCGGTTTGAGGTGGGAGGAGGGAATAGGTGGGAGGAAGAACAGGTTAGAGAGGTGGGGACGAGCTGGGCTGGTTTTGGGATGCGGTAGGGGGAGGGGACATTTTGAAGCTTATGAAGTCCACATTGATACCATTGGGCTGCAGGGTTCCCAAGCGGAATATGGGTTGCTGTTCCTGCAACCTTCAGGTAGCATCGTTGTGGCACTGCAGGAGGCCCAGGATGGACATGTCATCTGGGGAAATGGGAGGGGGAGTTGAAATGGTTCGTGACTGGGAGGTGCAGTTGTTTATTGCGAACCGAGCATAGGTGTTCAGCAAAGCAGTCCCCAAACCTCCGCTTGGTTTCCCCGATGTAGAGGAGGCCACAACGGGTACAGCGGATGCAGTATACCACATTAGCAGATGTGCAGGTGAACATCTGTTTGATGTGGAAAGTCTTCTTGGGGCCTTGGATGGGGGTGAGGGAGGAGATGTGGGGGCAGGTGTAGCACTTCCTGCGGTTGCTGGGAAAAATACTGGGTGTCGTGGGGCTGGAGGGAAGTGTGGAGCGGACAAGGGAGTCATGGAGAGAGTGGTCCCTCCGGAAAGCAGATAAGGGTGGGGAGGGAAAAATGTCTTTGGCGGTGGGGTCGGATTGCAGATGGCGGAAGTGTCGGAGGATGATGCGTTGGATCCGGAGGTTGCTGGGGTGGTACGTGAGGACGAGGGGGATTCTTTTTTGGTTGTTATTGCGGGGACGGGGTGTGAGGGAAGCTTCAAAATCTCCCCTCTACCTACCGCATCCCAAAACCAGCCCAGCTCGTCCCCTCCTCCCTAACCTGTTCTTCCTCCCACCTATCCCCTCCTCTCACCTCAAGCCGCACCCCCATCTCCTACCTACTAACCTCATCCCGCCCCCTTGACCTGTCCGTCCTCCCTGGACTCACCTATCTCCTCCCTACCTCCCCACCTACACTCACCTTTACTGGCTCCATCCCCGCCTCTTTGACCTATCTGTTTCCTCTCCACCTATCTTCTCCTCTATCCATCTTCTATCCGCCTCCCCCTCTCTCCCTATTTATTTCAGAACCCCCTTCCCCTCCCCCATTTCTGAAACGTCAGCCTTCCTGCTCCTCTGATGCTGCTTGGCCTGCTGTGTTCATCCAGCTCTACACCTTGTTATCCTAGTAATCCAGAGAGTTGCCCTAATGCTTTGGAGAAACAAGGTCAAATTCCACTATAGCAGTTGGGAAATTTAAATTTGATCAACTTAATCTGAAATTTAAAATGAGTATCAGTAACGGTGACCTTGCAACTGTGAAACTGTGGTAAAAACCAACCTGGTTCACTAATGTTCTTTACAGATCGAA